CACTCACTTAGGGAACGTTAATTCAAGTTTAACTTTTTTTCGGAACAGTAGAAAGAGATTACAGGTTCTTTTCGTCATCCACACGTCAATAAGAAACTTTAATGAAAAGTGTAGGTGTATCCGTCAAAAGACTCTCAAAGACAAGATGGATTGCTCATCATAACGCTGTTAAACCACTGCAGAATAATTTAAAAAACTAGTATAAACACTCGAAGATATATATGATCCCAGCACCAACAGAGAAAACTTCGATACAAGAGAAGCAGCATCTACACTCTTACCAGCTTTGTGTGACTTCAGTTTTTATGCTATCTTTTCTTTTGGTGTAAAATCCTAAAAGAAGTTAGTCAGACATAAAAGTAAATACTAAATAATATAATAATAATCTAGATTATCACTAGAAAAGTATGTGATAAAAATCAAAACCCAAAATTTTTCTTCAAAGCCAACGTATTCAACTAGTGGAAAAAGCTATTTCTTACGTAACAATAATGTGAGAATGTAGACATTTCGATTGAAGGAAGAAGAGGAATGAGGCGATTTCGAAAACGTTTACCAGGAGAAATGACCCGATATGCTGGACCAACATTGCCAGAGGAGCTGCAGAGAGCTATTTTAGAATGTCTTGATAGATTTTACGAGGAACTCGACCATAGCTACAGAGCAATGGATGATATTGTCGTAACATTAAGTGTTATTCAGCCTTACATTCTGATAACGTCACCAGATGAAGATCTTCGTGTAAGTTCAAAATCTGACAAAAATCTACGCTGGTTTTTCTGCAGGATATATAATTTTGGAGATTTTATGACTTGAAAGCTACCAGCATCTCTTCCCAAGAAGCGGTTCAATGTAATTCATTGGAGCTTTTCTCGTAAAATTGGGCTCTTCTGAATCTGTTCCAAATCTAGCGCTGTGTTTAAGATTTTTTACTATTAAGTTTCATGTGAAGGCAGCTTTTCAAAACTCAAGTTAATAAAATCTAACTTAACCCTTTCGCTGACCCGTGCACTACATATAGGTCATTGCTATTGTCTTACTATTCTGTCTGAAAACCGGACAGTGAAAGTGTTAATGTCCACAATGAGCCAAGCGGGACTAACCAATCTTTCCATTTTATCTATCGAAAATGACAAGAAAGTAAATTTTGATAATATATTAGAATATTTTAGCAAAATAAAGTTCCGCTAGCCTGTATAGCATATTTTGGTTTATTTTGGGGGGTGCTTTATTTTATTTATTAAGGAACAGCAAACAGCTACAAAATACAGTAATATCCAAAATGCAATAACATGATGTAGCCCACAACACTATCCCCATATTACTTACAATGTTAAATTAAATTGTCGTGCTTGATAGAAAACCGCCCTGGGTGCAAACCCACGCTACGCTGACACTAGTTACCGTAAGGTTTGATATTGTAGCGAAGCAATCATGTAATCAAAATATTAAACGGGGTTTAATTATAACATTATTCAGTACTTTCCATATTGAAAAAAATACGCATTTCGTTTTCCGTAATGCTGTATATACTATTAATATCCTCTAAATATTGTCTCATGGACACTCTATTAGAAAGAAATGGAACGCTTAACTCGGTGCCTTTCATTCATCTCAAGGTCACTGATTTAGGAACGTTTCTCTAGTATGAAGTGCGCACACTACATTATACATTCTCCTTGTGCGTATCACATTATTTATTTATAACTGGCTTTACGGCTTTGGGTTCTAGCCCTTCTAAGCCTGAAGTTACAATGTATAGTTATTCTTCATAGTGGACTGCTTCACAATGTGTTGATGCGTCACATTGTGTAGCCCTTAGGAGATTTTGACGGCAACTTGAGCCAGCAGACAGCTGATAGTTGGCGATGGTTTCTCAAAGCGCCTAAGCAACCAGACATCTTATCTTGAGAATCACATCACCATCAGAGCACTTGTTTCACCCTTTCCACTAATAGTTCACATGCACAGACACTTAATACACAAAATCGCACCACTTTTACACATCAAAATCCACTTTAAACCATTATTTAAACGATAATACAGGAGCAGCAAACCGCCGCCGGTCAAGTGTGTCCGTAAATCGCATCCAATAAGGGTGGCGCTGCGGTAGCATAAGATAAATTTAAAAAAAGCGCCAAAAGTAATGAGAATAAGATGGAGAAATAAACAAGGACCGACCAATCCGCTTGGTCTTGTACTACGTAAATAGTTGAGATTTTGTATACTGGCATTTTACTAACTACTCTAAGTCATGAAAATTTTTAAATATTGAGTTCAGCTGACTTCACTACGTCTACAACAGCTATATTCATATTGTAGTTTTTCACACGCCAGTGCTATTGTGGTAGGTTTTTTTGTAGTTTTCCGGTTTTGGAACCTCTATTTTCAGTATACTATTGGACACTTTTTCAACTTTCTCCCATCGATCATAAATATAATAAAAAACTAGATGCACAATGCCATACAAAAGTTTTCTAAAAACTGTCGCCAAATGTTTTGACGTATTTCCAGTTGATATAAATATACTTCAACCTTAAATGCATTGCCTAAAGTTGTATTGACAAAGCTACGAGTACGTACAATAATTTAAAATTAAAAATTCTGTACAGCCGACTTCAATATAAGTTATTAAGATTAACTCAAAAACTATTGGTCTGACCTTGATTAAATTCATATGGGATCACACGAGATGTATCAGCTTTCATATAAAAAAAGAATCATCGAAATCGGTTCACCCAGTGAAGAGTTATGAGACACACATAAAAAAAAACAGTCGAATTGAGTACCGTCTCCTTTTTGGAAGTCGGCAGAAAAGCAATAAAATTTTACGACCGAGGCTCGTCCCTTGAACAAGGAGAGTGGAGTCGAACTGCACAATACTTTTTGTTACTAAAATTTTAATTTTATAATTTTGTTAAACTTGTTTTGAATAATTGGTCTATTTAATAAAGCATAATATTCTATTCTATTCTATGGTGTATAAGTGTAATGGTTATATTATTACCTGAATGTAAATATGCTTTTGGATAGGGCACCACATTCATTTAGTAATGAAAGTAATTGAATCAGTCCTAATTATGTATTTATTCTTTATCTTGTGTGAAAAATTTAAAGATATTGCTTGACAAACAACTTAAATCTAAATATAATAGTTACTAAATATAAAAAAATAAGTACAGAAAATTCTTGGAAAATCTAAGAATATTACTGTTCAAATTTTTGACGTAATGTCTGAATAATTATAATGATTTCTTATATTTACGCGTTCACTACACATTTAAATAAAACTAGTTTTACGGATTTTATCGCGTATATTAACTTCCTTTATATTCCCGAAATTTCGAGTACTATAGTATTTATAGAAACAGTAAAGAACTCTCATTAAACAAAAAAAAAACAATCATACTTTCATAATAAAGAAATAAAAAACAATAGCGTCTCCACAAATGGAACAGAATCAACGCATATACCTCGAACAATGACGACTTATTTTATTAAGACTTAATTTATATAACACTTTCACGATGATTTCTTGACAAAATATCAGTATTTACAATACAGTGATAACAATTAAATAATGTTAATATTAATACTTACCGAAAATATGAAATTCCATCCTTTTTTAGCGTCCTGGATGTGTGATTTTTACACTTTTTAAACGAGCACTGAGGCATGTTTACCGTAGGAGCATTCGAATGCTACTAGATTAAAAGTGCACCCATATGTACGAGTGGGTGCACATTCGGTTAGGCCATTTTTTGTCACAGATTGTGTATCTAGTTTTTTATTAGTGATCAATAAGACATTTAAAATATATATAGTTCTCAACTTTACGAGTGGATACACAATCTACAAGAAGATATTTTTAAATACGATCACCAAAATTAATTAGTAATTTTACAGTTTAATATTATTGGTTTGAATAAAGTCGCAGAAAATATTTACAAAAGGATTTAATAAACTCTTAGATTATTAATAAGTCATCGCGCGCTCCGACTAGATACCGCGCTACCTGGAAGTAACAGCTCCGTGAATGCGGCATCTCAATATTGTAATGTGTATAAGACAATATGTAAAGATGCTTGTGTGCGTGAAAAATTGTATATGCCATCAGCTTAACTATTACCCGATTAACGGAAAAATTTATTTTATGCAATGGCTTAGTAGTTAAGTTCATAGTTATGAATGTATTCCAGAAATACTTATAAATGAATAGTTTAATAATAACGAATGTATCAATATATTTGTGTATATTATGTATAGGTTTTTCTTCTGAATAAATGACATATAAATGATAAGACCTCATTTTTCTCTCTTCCCCTTTCCTCCTCAGATAATCCTATAATATAGCAGCGCAACTTATCTATCTCTTATCTTCCAGCTCCAGGATCTCCTCGTCAGTCGTCAGGGTACGTGCGTTATATGTAGCCAGGTGGAGTCATCTTAGTTGGCAACCAAAGCTCCACCGGAGATCCTTAGCACCCCTGCCCCGCATTTGCCATGGTTGCCACCGTAACCAGCATATTTACCGTGCCGGCTACCCGCGATCCACAGCTGTCACACGGTTTTTATTCTGAATTGCCGCTCTAGTAGAAGTATATACAAGTATGTAGTATACAAAGAAGTCTTTGACTTATATACAATTTAACAAAAAGTTCAAACAATTGTGACGCTACATTTCACTTTACAACAACACCTAACTAAACAAAGTCTCTGCAAGATAAATGCAGTTCCGATTACCACACAGGGCACGGAAAGGTTTTTCTACTCGTTCTACTGACAAATAGATTTTTATATAATATACTTTTATATTTATATAAAACACGTTTACATAACATTCTACAAATTTTACCAGATAACTCTCTAAAAAGGTTTTTCTCCAGTATGTATTTTTATATGTGATTGCAAATTACTTTTTCGAATACATTTATATCCACAGATATTACACGAATAAGGTTTTTCTCCAGTATGTATTTTTATATGTGATTGCAAATTACTTTTTCGAATACATTTATATCCACAGATATTACACGAATAAGGTTTTTCTCCAGTATGTATTTTCATATGCCTTTGCAAATCACTTTTTGTAATACATTTATATTCACAGATATTACACGAATAAGGTCTTTCTCCAGTATGTATTTTCATATGCCTTTGCAAATCACTTTTTGTAATACATTTATATTCACAGATATTACATGAAAAAGGTTTTTCTCCAGTATGTATTTTTATATGCCTTTGCAAATCACTTTTTGTAATACATTTATATTCACAGATATTACATGAAAAAGGTTTTTCTCCAGTATGTATTTTCATATGTGATTGCAAATCACTTTTTCGAATACACTGATATTTACAGATATGACACGAAAAACGTTTCTCTCCAGTATGTATTTTCATATGTGTTTGCAAATTACTTTTTGTAATACTTTTATATTCACAGATATGACACGAAAAAGGTTTTTCTCCAGTATGTATTTTCATATGTGATTGCAAATTACTTTTTCGAATACATTTATATTCACAGATATTACATGAAAAAGGTTTTTCTCCAGTATGTATTTTCATATGCTCTTGCAAATTATCTTTTTTTATACTTTTATAATCACAATTATTACAACAGTACACTTGTTTAGCGACGTGCACCTTAAGATGTGCCAAAATGCAACGCTTTTGAGATGTTTTAAATTCGCAAATATCACAATTAAATATTTCCGTTAATTGTGGTACTGGAGTTTGTTCAACTTGTGTCCGAACTGCAGTGGTGACTGAGTTCTTTTGCGTCTTATGACAGTATGAAATGTGTTTGGCGAGAATGTCTTTTGTTGAAAATTTTGTTGATGCCCCTGACGTGTTTTTCGTAAGTATATTTACACTCTTTCGAAATTTTCTTTTTCTTAATCTTTGCAGAATGCTTTCCTTTTTTATTAATTGGTTGATTATGTTTATTCACTTTAGGCTTTGATTTAATAGTAGGGCTTTCTAAATCGAGGTTTCCTTTACGGACATCGTTTATGTTACAATCAGTAGAATTTGATTTAATCTTCCTCTCAGACAGTTTTGAAAAATGATTTGTCGGTGTGATGTATGGTTCTTAAATACATACGAATTAAACATTTTATTTATTGTAAGACACCACAAACTGTGAACACTGGGCGGAGTTTATGCCTTATGTCGTTCTCTATTGGTTAACCCAGGGAGAAATAGAGAAATTACAATATTCTACATGATTATACTCTTGTAATGTTTCTATATACATATAAAGTATTTTAGCCAATTACTTTGAGTAAAGTATATCTCAATATGCATTTTTGGAGGGAATGAATGGTAGAGAAACTATATTCGAATGATAATGATGACGTTCTTCTGGAACAAGCATTATACAGGATAATTGGAAGAGTGACTTGGTGATTGAAAAAGATCATTTAGGCCATAGTTATGTTAGACAAAGTCTGACTATACTCTTTTGTTTTTGGTGATAAAACCAAGAATTTTACAATTCATTGCTAATAATTGCCAGTTTTATGAGTGTCTGTTTTGTTTTTAATTTAAATAATGGGTAAGCAATCTAAGAAAACATGGTCTCAACATCTGTGTCATCAGATATTTTTCTGCCGACTTCGAAAAAGGAGACGGTACTCAATTTAACTGTATGTTTTTTTTTTATGTGTGTTACCTCATAACTTTGTACTGGGTGAACCGATTTCGATGATTCTTTTTTTTATATGAAAGCTGATAGTTCTCGTGTGGTCCAATTTGATCAAGGTCAGACCAATAGTTTTTGAGTTATTCTTAAATAACTTTTTTTAATTGTTACTTTTATTGTTTATTTTACTTGATATCAGTGCGTGTAAATAAAGTATTTGTGGCGGTATAGTAACAAAAACAAACTAATAGCGCCTAGAAAAATATAATAGCAGTCTTGTATTTACACTACTTCTAACGCCTAAGCGTAACAAAGGAGAATGCTACGTTCACCTAATAAAGGAGGTTCAGACCCCAACATTTCTGTTAGCAAGAAAAAAGAGAGAACACCCCCACCCCTTGTTAACGCTAGACAAAAAAGACGCCATGAAGATTTAACTAAAGACGACCTTATCTATATCAAAGAAGAAATTTATGAAATGTTAAATAAATGGAAGATTGATCAAGACGAAAAATTTAACAGGATTGAAAGCAAACTAAGTAACATAGAAAAGAGCTTTACTGATATTGAAAAATCACTTGAGTTTCTCTCTAGCCAACAGGAAGACATGCGCCTTAATTACGATAATTTAAGTAAAGAATGTAAGCAAAACAAAGCATACATTCAAATTCTGGAAGAAAAAGTGGAAGAGCTCCAGCGTAACAACAAAAGGGCTAGTGTAGAACTACGTAACGTTCCAACACCGGATAAAGAAAATAAAGAACAACTAACTGGACTGGTTTTAAGTACATTTAAAGCATTGGATGTAGAAATAAAGGCTTCAGATATCCGTGATGCCTATCGGGGCCCAGGAAAAATGTTGCCAAAACCCATAGTGGTTGATTTAACTAGTACATCGCTATAAAACAATCTTCTTATATCACACAGTAACTTCAATAGAAACAATCCCAATAACAGGTTTAATACGTCACATATTGGCTTAAAACATACTTTAAATAATATATATATATATATATATATATATATATATATATATATATCTCCGAGCATCTCACAAGTAATGCGAAAAAAATATTTTATCTTGCCCGCACCCTCTCAAAAGAAAAGAACTTCAAGTTTTGTTGGACTGCAAATGGAAGTGCATATAAGAAAATCCGATGGAAAACCTTCTATCCAGATAAGAAGTGAAGATCATATCGAAGCTCTCAAATTAGAACCGTGACTAGCAAACAACCATAGACGTATTGGTCTATATTTTATACGTTTCAGTAAGTGCGCTCGTAAATTAATAACTAGATGTCCGTTTAATAGATCTAAATATTTTATATACTATATAATTCTTATTATATATAATATGTTCGCTTCTCACTCTACAGTTCTAAAACAATATTATGTTCTAAATCACACTCTAGTCCAACAATTAAATGATACTGTCTTCGATTTTCATAGTCTTACTAAATTGAGCTTGAACTGTGTAATATTTTTAAAAAATAACTCTTGCAGAAGCAAATCCTTATGTGTAATTCAACCTTACTATTTTAATATCACTAATATTATAGGCTTCTTTGTAAAAATATTTATCAAAGTTATCATTCTGTCTCTATTGTGTCAACTTATATTTCTCATTAAGAACGATCATCAACCGTCAATCATTTTACACTACACATATTTTCAAAGTTACCACTCCATCAGCTTATTCAGCAATATTAGTATAAGCAACATCTCTATTAGTGGTAGAAATCTTAAGCCTAAATTTACTTCTCGACTGTACCCCAACTTATTGGATAGAAATGGCTAAGTTACTTGAATTTCAAGCTGATATAGACAGTGTCAGCATTGCAGTATCTATTTCAATAAACCCAGAGGAATGTATTGCTAACTTCGGCAACCATAACTCTTGTTTTAAACTTATTACTCTTAATATCCGAAGTATTCACAAAAACTTACCTCAATTTGAAGTCCTTCTCTCTAGACTGGGATTTGAATGTGATTTTATAATTCTTACGGAAAGTTGGATATCTTACTTAAGGTGACACTAGTCGACATTATTTCCATAGAAATTTCGGAGGGGTTTTACTCCGCTGTTTGACAGTGTACATCCAAAATTAAACATGATATCGTTTTGTCTCATTATTAAATTTGTCTGTACGGAAACAGAATAGTAAAATAAAATGTTATTAAAAAGTTACGAGCTACCAAAGATTCGTTTTTATTGCCAATTTTAACACAACTTTGGGCGTAAATTAGTAATAAAAGAAGTGTAAAATTTCCAAAACAAAGTCGGTACCGACACAGGTAAATTATCGAAGAACTCAATAAATTTTATTTGTAATTGATTAATGCAGTGGTTTTTTCATAAAACCCCTTCTTCCAAAGGCCTTTTCGTATTTTTTTACGCGCGCATGTTACTATGAATTATCGTGCATCTCACTGAATAATGTCTCCCCCGGTGCGGTGCGGGAGGACGATGCTTAGACACACATGCACAGGCGGTGACGCGCGCTTATAAGTATTCGAGTTTTATTCGAAACGAAAAGTTTTGCTATTTTGTAATTTGGACGCCAAAGACAAAAGACGGCGTGGAAATTGATATAATTGAAAGAGATGATGCGTTTTGGACGACAGACAATATTTTAAAATTTTCGTCTGTAATATAATATAATTATAAAAGTAAAAAAAGTAAAGTCTATATTCGATTACTATATAAAATTGCAACAATTTCATTGGTGCCGACGGGGATCGAACCCGGGTTGCTCGCATAATGTGATACTTACAGCGAGCGCTAACCATCTGAGATACCACGGCTCTCAATGCAAGTGTTATAAATAAATAAAGAATTACAAAACAGTTTAATTATTTATTAGACGACTTTTGCGGCGGATAAACAAAGTATATTATGTGGGATTTTCATAGGTACCTACTGTTATTACCTAGATACCTACAATCAACAATACAACAAAATGTCACAAAACCTCGCCGCGTCGTGGCCACAAAATTGTAAACTTTAGGTAGGTACGTCGGTACTAAGAAAACAATCTTGATGGGTCACTTGTCTTGATAAAAACCTGTGTTTACGTTTAGTGATATTGAGTATATATAAAAAAATAAGAAGCCAGGTAAGTAAGTATTTTTGAAAACAATTTATAGGTAGGCAGACCAATTACGATTATTATCTAAATATTATAAATGCGAAAGTTTGGATATTTGGATGGACGGATGAATGGATGTATGTTACTCAATCACGCCAGAACGGCTGAAGGGATCTGGATGATATTTTGCTCAGAGATAGGCTATAGTCCGGAATTTTTTTTTTTCAAAAAAACGTTACCCCACACTAGGATTTTCTCCTGTATCGTGGAGGCAGTTTACAAACATCCAGACCCGGAACAATTATTTGTAGACCATACAAATACTTGTTCGATTGATTCGAACCCGCGGCTCCCAGTACAACAATTCATTGCTAAGCCACTGCGCCACGGAGCTGCCAAATATCATATATGATACCGTTTATTCAGGTATTTCGTTGCCGTGGGATAATTATCGAGTTACACACGTTCGAAGCCGAACTCTTGAGTGATTGCTGCATGACCACTCGGGGAAAACTAAACATAATAAAATAAGCAATCTATATTAGGTATATAGAGCCACAGACGTATACCTAATAATTTCGTGGATTCACCCGCGTCATCACGTGTCCGAGATGCGTGGCATGACATGACACCTAGTTCAAGCATTTTATAATTGCAATCAAATATTTTATTTGATTGTAATGTATGGAAAAATTGTCATGATTAATGGAGTACTTTTATTTTATCTGTCGGCATATTATGCGCGGTTTTTTCCAGTTTTAAAGAAAAACGTACACGATTCATGAAAAGTGTGTAGGCAAGAAATGATTCTTGATAAATTTGCTATCAACCTC